TATGGCGTCCATTCAAAACAAGGAACTTGATGTCAATATCTCGAAAACCGCCATTTTGAAAAAAAAATTCTATTGAATATCCGTTGAATTTATCCGATCGAAACTTGCAACTTTTATTTGAAACGATTTTCACATTTTTTCAATTGTCTACTACGAAACGAATTATTTTTTTCAAAATATCGCATCGGAATATGCATCAACATCAAAGACTACACGCCAATTTAACCGAATTTGTAAGTATAATAATAACAAAGATAGCCATGTTATCCTACTCAATTTAAAACACCCTGCATACAGCACGATAGAGAGGTCTATTACGCATCTACATTCCTCAGCGCTTCCTCAGGGTGTAATCTTTGTGCTTAGATAATAATACTAGACTTTTCTACTTTGGTATATACCTAATGTACTATTACATAGAATCACATAAAATATCAATAAAATCAACCCCTAACCTTATAATGACTTAAACAGAAGTTTTGAAAAAATTTTGAATAGCTTGAAAACTTTTGAAATACAATATAGTGTGTTCTATTTAAAATAGGAAAGTTATCCACATCCGGTAAAACTGGAAGTGACACAATGATGATAATATTTTCTTTCTATAGATCATGGAAAACTACGAGGAAAACTATGCACATTTTCAGATTTCAATTATTAATGGGAGTCCGAATACTTTGAGATGACGATTTGCGTGATTACCGATAAATTAGTATTGTTAAGTATCCATCTATGAATATTATTATTGTCCCGTATATATTAATTATAAAATTTAGCAATAAATGCCGGCAGGACAATTATTTATGTCTTAATTTCTTTCATATTAAAAATTCTTTCAAACCTCATGTAAATACAAAGGTAAATATTAAATAGGTAAGTGTGAAAATAAGTAATGATTAACACTTATCTAATTTTTGATTTCATGTATAGTATGCATTCCACATCCATTCGCATTTCGCATGTAATGCATTTTCGTGGACTCGTTATAAGCGATACTATGTATAACACTCAAGAAGCAAATCTAAAGTCTATATCAATGTCTACTTACAGTAGAATTTCGGGAAAGTACAAGGGAAGTTTGGGGGAAGTACAAGGAAGTACTGGGAAGTACGGGGAAGATAAGAGGAAGTACTGGAGGACTTCCCCCGAAGGGGAAGTATTGTACAAATTTTAGGTCTGGTGTTTACCCCCTGCTTTTAATGTACCACATCCAAATTCCGGGTTTTTCAGAATAAGTTTATAATAAATAAACTCGCAGACATTACAGTGTTTTATTTGAGTGTTCCTGCCCGACTGGGTCCCGAGTAATTGTATTAGCTTCGTGTAACGTAAGGGGGACCTACCGTAGACGATCCAATCACGTGCCATTCTTTTGTTTGAATTTTAGGCGGGAACCGTGTTTTGATACTGGGATTGCAACGTTGCCACTTTTCCGTGAAATCTGTCATTTTCATTTCGAGCCTGGGGGTGGGTTAAGATCAGTACAAAAGGATCCGAGGGCCCTCGAACCTCCAACTTTAGGGACGAAGTGCTGTAACCGAAGGCCGTCCTACCCATGGGCGGCGACCCATCTCTTAACCATCTTCAGTTTTGTGTCGTTACGTGACCGATGTCAGGGGAGTGTTACGAAGCACAGGTAGTAGTTCCGGAAGTCTGGGGTTTATACCAATGTCATTATGTGGAAACTGAGCATAATTGGGGGCCCCACGAGCACACTGTGTATTGTCATAACTGCCTATTGTTACGTCACAACATGAATAATAGATCAGACATGTTTTTACAAACTTCACACCACTCTATTCGGTATATAATGATATGAATAACTAGTAAGGTGACTTATATCAATAAATGCATGAATGTGTTGCCCCTAACAATCTTAACTGCGCTACGGGTTAATAGGCAAATATGCCAGCCCAATCCCTAACAATATAACCGTGAAACAGGAGGGCAATCAAGCGAAGACGCTGGCCCAAACCTAACGAATAACCAGGTCCACCACCCAATGACTAAAACTAAAAAGTGAGTTGCCTTCTAGCCGCGATTAAAGGGAAGTACATGACATGTTGTGACGAATACTGTTCAAACGTACCCTGCTACTTGAATTTATTAATTAATGCAGTGTTACATGTTCTGCTTAGGTGGTTGGTGTTTTAATTTGCTTGTGATTAGCATAGTTTGGGTTTTATTCAAGGCCAAGGTTTTTTCTCAAGTCGCGCTCTTTTTCTCATTGGTAGTCTGCTTTTGCGAGAGTGTCTTTAGGTTTTGCTTGCTTTGCTTTTAATGTACCACATCCAAATTCCCGGGTTCTCAGAATAAGTTTACTCGCAGACATTACAGCGTTTTATTTTAGTGTTCCTGCCCGACTGGGTCCCGAGTCATTGTATTAGCTTCGTATACGTAAGGGGGCCCTACCTTAGACGATCCAAGCACGTGCCATTCTTTTGTTTGAAATTTGAGCGGGAACCGTGTTTTGATACTGGGATTGCAACTTTGCCGTGAAATCTGTCATCTTCACTTCGAGCCTGGGGTGGGTCAAGATCAGTACAAGAGTGTATGAGAAAGGCAATAATTGAAACTACTGCTGCGAAGAATTAAACCTTTATGCAAAAGAATAATGTACCTACACACTTTAATTTTGTGTATTCTTTATTTTCTATAATTAATAATTTTTTTATTATACCTGAATCACAATCTCCGTTTTAAACACTCAAATGCGTGCGAAAAAGGGCCTTTAAAACACACGTGCTTTAAAGTTGCTAAGTAACGATACTTCAAGTATGACTTTTGAAACTGTCATCTGGATGAAATAAAAAATCCTCTTAGGTCGCTTTCTGTAAAGGCAGAACATTTCTTTGGCTTTTGTACCTATCCTTTCGTTGAGTCTTTCACAAACGCGCGTAATTTAGGGTATGCTTCCAAATCTTTGCTCCACTTTTTAATCGCAGCATTGTTTTAAAGTTTTGAATGAATGCACCAAAATATAGAAGATTTAAATACCTTTGACATTTCCTTCATATATGCCAGCATTATGGATGCATTTAAGACTGTATTCGTAGGTAACTTCCTATTCATCCATGGAAACAACTTTTCATATTCTTTATAACAGGCTTTACTGGATTTGGATTTTACACCTACCAACGTTTGTTTAGATTTTACAACAATCGATGTAATGGACGATGTATTATCTTTTTCAACGGAAATCGTTTTATTCACAAAGACGACGATTTTTATAAGCAAACGTCAAGTGACATTTCCATGGCAATCGTGAAATTTCGAACACCCAGCCCACTTAATTAAACATGTATTCGAGTATAACGTCAATATGACTGCATTGTATTTCCTATTTTTAAATTATACTGCAGGTATAATAAAAAATACTATAAGATACACGTGTATAATTGGTCTTTAAAGCACTTGCAACGTTAAAGGCACTCCGCTATGCGTCGTGCCCTTAAACTCGCGTGCGCGTGCTTTAAAGACTTGATTATACACTTGTATCTTAATATACTATATTTATTTATGTTGGAAACCTTAAAAATTGGAACCGAAACCGAGAATTACTAAAGCTACAGAACCGGAACGTGTTTCGGAACCCTTAAAAAATAATTCTACCTAAAAAGTGCGGAACCTGAACCCCTGCTTGGTAAGTGCTACCTGAAGTTTCCACGGGAACGGGAAAAATCGAATTGAGACAAAAGGTAATGTTTATGCGCGTTCGATGTCGCGGGCAAAAGCTAGTGGTACCTATAAAAATGTAGGCAGCCTTAACTGCTGCTGAAGTGGAATTTTACTAAATGATAAAAGTACTACAGATAACTATTTTTGTATCGAGTGTTTCATTGTTATGATCGTGACAGAAGATTATTTTGTATTACATAACCGTAAAACTACTATGACCTTCATTCCGTCATGAAGTAGACACAGCTACTGGTCTGACTGGTATTGGTATGGTAACAGGAAACTGACGTTGCACTACCGCAGCATGTCGGTCAAACAAGGAACAAATGGAAGCACTTCTTTAGATATTTTTGGTCCCAACTTCGTCTCGCATCATAAAATGGCACTAATCACTGTTTTCACAAATTGTTGTATATTTTAATTGTTATTTTCATTAAATTTTGACACGTTTTGAAGTGTTGATTGAAGAACTGATTAGTAAATAAAAGATTAGATTTGACGAAAACATCGTTTTACGTCGTAAATAAATACCAAAAAAGACAAAAAAAGATCGAGCACCCGTTTTCTTCCATAAAACCTGCAGCTTTGAGAGTCTGTAAGGTATCTAAACGCAACTCTTAACAACAAAAGAAAGCCTGGCCATAACCAGAAAAACTAAGTTCTGACCAAACGGATAAGGGCGCTACGCTTAGACAGACCATATGGTGTAAGGGGCTACGGCATCATTAAGTTTCGCTCCTTGATAAGAATAGATATATGTACAGTGAATTTTTTTTTAATGCGAACATAGGATAGGAGTTTGCATGCAATGTAATTTCCCTATGTTCGATTTTTAAAAAAACACATCAATCTATTGAGTAGTTCAAATGAGTAGTAGATACAATTGACAGCTGTCACATTTTTAAAAATACCGCCGTCCAATTTAATTACGAAATCGGTTAGGTTATTGCTTAGAATGTCATGGAGGCCAGTTCGAACATTTGTTGTAATTGTTTTTGTTATTTATTTTCTTATTTTCTTCATTTATGTATTGAATAAATCAAATTAGTAGAATACCAGGTGCACATGACCTACAAATAATTGAAGGTTGGTTCACAATGAATTGTGGTGACAGCGCGTGGCCTGTGAGGTCAAGTTATCGTAAGTTATCGTAAATTTATCCTAAACTTGCTATGGCCTCACACGGCTTATTTAAAAAAAATCTTACCGAGTGCTCTTCATCATAAAGACTATCAGTTGCTGTTCATAGTCACACAAGTTGCACGATTTGGGAATGTGAACCGCGCACACCTCATAGATTGATGTGTTGTTTTAAAAATCGAACATAGGGAAATTACATTGCATGCAAACTCCTATGTTCGCATTTAAAAAAAATTCACTGTATAAGCTCGCTGCGGGCCAAAGGCGACGCAGTTTTACACGAGAAGGTTTCATCGAACTCATAATGGCTTCAAACGTTCTGATTGCGTTGCTCGTCGTAGTAGGTATCTGTTGCAGCTTCAGGTGGGTCTTTACACTGATTGTCCGCTTTTGTGAAAATAATGATTTATTATCAGCTCAAGCGCTGGAATGCATGCTATGCTATCCTTCGGATGCCGGATGCACATCGGGTCAGGTGACAACATACGAGACTTGCCGTGACTTATCCGTGATTGGTTTTAAGTCGTTATGTTTTGGCGCACGAGTTGGTAAGCCGTTTTACTATAGTGTTATTCTGTAGTTTTTAACAAAACCTACCGATACAGAAGGAAGCAAAGACAGCAGAGGCTGCTCACATGTGCGCCCGTCGGAGAGTTTCTGCAGAATAATAATAAATAACGAGTACGGAGTTAGCGAATGTAGGACTTGCGAGACCGACAGATGCAACTATCCACCAATAACCGGTAATATGTCTAGCTGGACGTGGCCTTAGATCATACATATTAACATATGATTTAAGGAGGTTGTCACCTAATCGCCAAGATTAGTGAATTATTTCTATTTTTACATACCTACTGTTTAGTTTTATTTCTATTCCGTTTTATAAAGTGTATGTACATAAAATGTAAAATAAACGTTTGCCTTTAATTCGTGTTTCATACGAAAGGGAGAGAAAATAACGCGAGGATAATTATATGGTCCTTCGAGCCGGATGTGCAGTAGAAAAGAAGTTCGTCCAGTCTACTACGAATGTTGAGAACAGAAGTCATTAGTATCTTTTCCAACTTAGTGTTTGTGTCTGTACGTCGCTCGTCTGGTGATGTCCTCAAAAAAAGAAGAAAAAAAATAATAATAAATAAATAAATTAACACACGCACATTGGAAATCTAGGGATAGTATTGAGATGCCCCAACCTTAGCAACGTCCTGTGAATATATTTGTCGATACGAAGCACCCTATACATCATGTAGGTTACACAAGCTGCCAACAGAAATCTGGTGGGATTACAGAAAAGGGAAAGAGAGCGAAGATGAGACGGATGGAATTTCTTGGAAGTCCACATCTGTTTACAATTTCAACACCTGGAGTCCACTTTTTTCTTAGAAATGCGTGAAATGCAGGGGAATGGGCGATTTTTGGGGTGGTTTAGGGGTATTAGCAGATCAAATTACCGCGTGGCTTGGGTTGGTCAAATAAATAGGATTTAACATGTGTGTTCATGGTCTTTTGTCTTGTAACCGGCTGAAGTGTAAAGTACGGCTGGTCTTGAAATATTTTGTTATACCTTAATCATTGCTGTGTGCTTTTGCTTTGTTATATCAGGTGAGGTATTTGCTTTATTCAATTAATCTATAAATGTGTGTAACTTGAATGTAGATTGTAACCCTTTATTTATGTACTTACTGAATTCAATCACTTGTACCTTTAATGTGTAAAGCCGGATTTATAGTTCCGTAGCCGTAAGAACGTAAGAACGGAACCGTAAAATCTTACGTTAACGAAAATTATACGATTTATAGTTACCGTAGTGGTAAGAGAGGAGCTTGCGCATTAGTGCGAAACGAATTCTGTCATTGTATGTCATCTGTCAGTAAGAGCAACGTGCATTTCAAAATAATAATAACCAACAAAGTGTCAATAATAATTGTAAATAAACAAAACGAAAGTCAGGATAAACTCAACTATTTGAATTATCCGAGTACTACCGAAGACAAGCGCGTTAGCACGATTTACCGTAAGAAATAAGATTTGGGCATTTCCTACGTACTGTAACCGTTCTAACCAAACGTTAACGCGAACTATAAATATTCACGCGCAACAAGTAGGGTTTAATTCCAAACGTTACGGTACAGCGTTGCGGACACGGAACTATAAATTCAGCTTAACCTTTGTTGGTATTGGCAATCATGTTTCATTGTCGGTAGGGCTGTATCTGTGCTTTACATACTTGCATGTGTACATATTTAATTTGTGTATTGTGCTTTTTAGTCACTCTCGATTATTCCATTGCATTTCATTATATTTGTTTATTTGGGACTGTGAGTAATCAAGAGGGAAGTGTGCTTGTTTAGAGGGGATCGAGCTATTCAAGTTTATACGGCCTTGGTGAACCTAACACTAACATTTTCACTCGTTCCGAACCCAACAACTTTAGCCCTTGACTACAGATTCTCCACTGGTCTTGGGTACTTCCCCCCGCCCGGCGAGGTATATTTGACATTTCTTAGTTTTGTCCGATGTATGTATTGTAATACCTGGGGAATGGCTCGATCCCATTTTGGTTACACATAGCGTGTTTGTAGTAGTTACCCCGGTTTCGAGAGGGCTGAAAAGTGCTGTACATTGGATGTTGTTCATTATAGGACTACTCCGAATTAGGTTTTCCTGCAGTTTTCCTAATTCATAAGGTAAATTCCGGAGTAGTATAGAACCACTTCAGACCCTCTGCAGGGGCACCGTTTTGGTATTAGCTGCAATATAAACTTAATCAACTAGGTATTGCTTTTGGTGTTCCTTACCCATAAAACGCCCTCAGTGCCTGCTGAGAACCCAGTTATTACACAACATAGGTGTCCTACGTGACGATCACGATCTTAGTGCACTCGGAGTGGCCCCAGAGTGACAGATTCTCGCGGGAAATGTAAGCGAGAATATTCAAATAGGCAGCCATGTTAGTTTGGCATTCCCGCTACTACCGAATGTGGTCCAATATTCCAGTGTGACTTGAAGTTGACGTTAACCACCAAGATAGTAGGAGGCTAAGATCATCACAGTATGTAATTCATACTTACCAACATAGCTAACGATGGGCGCAATAGCCAACGCTATCAGAAAAGAGGAAAACAAAAAAAATATATTTATAATAATTCCTGTAAGTTTAGCAATTTTATTAAATGGAGTTTATTGTGTAAGTGTTTCTTTGGCTTTACGTTTGGGTTGAATACGAGTAGGTTGTGATAACGTGGTGTGTTTCTGTGAAGGAGTTTTGTGTTCTTTAACTTTGCTAGGACGTGTAACTTTATTGGGTGGACCTGTTTTTGTAGTGCATGTTGCGTTACTTGCACTTATTGTGGAATCTTGAGGTTGTATTTGTGTGGTTGCTTGGGTTATTGGTGGGGATATTACAGTACTTTGTGAGCCTGTAGTGCAGTTAAGGTTTTTGCGTTATTATTATTATTATTATTATTTGGATTAAGTCTCAGGTTTTAAAGCATGTACTTGTTTTATTGTATTCCTTACTTGATCCTCACTCCGACAGACAACGCATATCTTGTAGCGACGTTTAAAAACACAACCTAGTAAGTGGTCCTAGTATTTTTTATTCAAGTTAGGTAGCTTTGTCTAGCTAGACGATCATGTGCCATGGTGTTCCGTTAGTTTTGGAGGAAAAGTTTTGAATTTAAATCTTGAGTTGCGCAGTCTCTCGGGGCTAGCCTGGATGCGTCACAAAATTGTTATCTGGGGTAATTAATTTAACAACGGATTTCAACATATTACAAACAGGACCGAAAATTATACAAACATACTTCCGCAAAAAACAACGGAGCTAATTGTTAAATGACTAATAATTACAATTCGACTGTATCGAAAACCAATATGTAATCAAATGTTATCTAAAGGAGTCGTCTAAAATAAAAACTACCTTTGAAGCTCTGGTCGAACGGCTTTTGAGCTCAGAAGGGCGCTTTTCTGCTTTATCTTTAACAGACACCAACACAAACAAACAAACGAAGGATAGTGAATAGCGGGGCACATAAATATTGCGGTAGCAATTTCTAACGTCTGACACTAGGTTAAATCGTATACTAAAACCATAATTAATACTCAATAAGAATCAATAATTCTATTTACGTTATAGTTAAACAAAATCAAAATTTTGACTCGACAACTAATCGCTTCACAAAACTATTATTCTCCATTTCATGAGGTTTCGTTATACTTGCAGTTGAACAGGAACAATATTGAAGTGTAAACAACTTGCATGTAGGTAGCTCAGCAGGTAATGTAAGTAGAATCACGTGATTGATTTCAACTAAGATGGCGGTGGAATTTTCCAATGGACCTTCCTCGTGCAATACTACGAGAGCCAAAATTCGACGGTTTCCACCAAGGAATATCGATGTACAAAGCCATAATCAGGTGACAATAATGACGAAAAGAATAAGCCAGATAATCATTATTGAAAACCATAGGTAATACGATATTGTAGGTACATACCGTAAACGATCTTAGAAATTGTAAATATATCCGCAAAAAAAGTATATTCTGCAAAGCGGAGCAAATACTCAAAACAGAAATTTCACAGATATATTGAGGTACTTAACAACCACCAACAAATCCCTTTTACACTTATAATGGCGGCGTGTACGTTCATTTTACAAGTAGTAACCGAAGCTGTTCTTTTACAAGGAATGCGTAGAAAGAATTAAGGAAAGGGCAACATTAAGTACGGAAACACCTGCACGACCTCCAGCGCCGAAAATAAAGAAACTATTGTCTATAATCTACACTAAGCCGAATACCTAAATTTCGAATTTAAATAAAACGTTACAAACTTAATCTCAAATTTTGGTGCAAATCGATACATTTTCAACAAAGGTTTTGTACTATTTTAAGCTTAGTTTCCTCAACTCAAATTTCAAAAGCATCTACTTGAAAGCCCGTAATATCCCAGGCCTCAAACTTTCGCGAAGTACGCCTACCAGAAGGACTTCCCGTGGATGAATTCTCCCCAGCAACCAATAGGTACTATCTTCCAATTTCATGGTTGATTACTACCACGGTTGTGAAGAATGTCCGGATCAAACGGTTCTTTTGAACGGCAAGAAGGAGGACAGTATGTTAATGCGTCGCGAGAAGACCTTAGCCACTTCAGCCCGTATACGTTCCGGCGGATACCGACTTGTGAAAATGTGCATTCCGTACATTTCTCATACACAATTCTGAAATGGCTGCTTTGATAGAAGGTAACAGCCTAACGAAAAACCACGATACGGCTTCTTTGGCGGCAAGACCAATGCTGCCAAACTTTATCACAAAGCCGAAGGACCTAGCTGCTTTGACGATACCCTTACGTGGACAAGTACGGCAAGTACCCTGTTGGACATCCATGTGTGCTCGTTTCGAACGAAGAACTTGGAGCTGTCGAAGGATTTGTAAAGTGTACCGTACTTTTCCCGCAGAATCTATGCCATCCTGTACTACCGTATCGATGTCATTAGCGGCTTATGTTTATTTATTCACTAGCGCCCAACACTGTGTAATGTGTCTACCAATCAATTTTATTTTCTTCCAAGCCTGTGATCCTCTCCTAATAATTTGAGAAGATAAATTTCTGTCTGGAAAATAAGTACAATACGTCTCTGTGCGTTTTTGTACCACTGATGCAACAATGGAAGGGAAATTCGTATCAGGAGAACATAAAACTTCAAGTGTCTCTTAACAGATTTCCACTTCTCTGACCTTGGCCCAATAATTTAAATAGAAATCATCAGAAAATTAGAAAAAATGAATGTGATACCTCCTTGCCCTTCTGAGACGACAGTCTTTTAATGAGACACTTATTCATGATTTCCAAATACTTTTGAAAGTGTTTGAGAAAACGTAGGTACTTACGCATCAGGAGAACATAATGACATAAAAAAAAATTAATTAAGTTTTACACCTTTATTTTCTGTGGTCCTAACCAAACAATTTTTGAAAGATAAGTTTGTACCAGGATAACATAAATCTCAGAACTTTTTTGTCAATAATTTTACACCTCTTTGCATTTTTTTAATTCTGATGCGATAATTTTTAGAAGAGACATGTCAGAAGAACATAAAACCTCAGAAAATATCATTCAATTCCTGAGATCCTGACAAAAATTTTGAAAGGAGACATTTGTATTAAAAGAATGTAAACCGTTCCAGAAACAGAACTTCTTAAGAAGAACGAAACACAACTTTACTAGGTATCTGCTTTGTCTTCCCGAAACACTTTTTAAAAGATTCCTAAGACACAGAATTCCTAAAGATGAATAATTTTTGAAACATTTAAAGCACCTGATCACCGAGACCTTTTTTTTTCAAGTCGAACGATGACACTACTACCAGATTCTAGGGTGGTCACGCTTTGTTGTTCACGAACACAATTACAACAAATTAAATCGGATTTATTTGTTAATTACGACGAAATTTGGAAATGAGCAGTTTAGATTTATAATAGAGTAAGAATTTATCTTATAAACGACGCTATTTCCGGGGAATCTAGTGCGCCGCACGAGTTCTTGTAAATATCAGTTTATAAAGTACCTAATCAATGAAATTAATGTCACTTGTACAACCCACATGTCCTTCGCACAGGTTAGTAATAATAGCGGATGTAACAACTAATTTAGCTATCACATACTTTTAGCGACAAATTAAAAAAAAACACAATACATTTTCCGAGATATTTGTTATATAATGCCATGGTCAGGGTAAAGTGCGCATACTCGATGCACGTATAAAAGTCTAGAACGCGAAGAGTAGTTTTTTACATTAGTTTTCCATTAGGTAAAATGCGTGTGTTAATTTTATCGTTTCTTTGCGCCACTTGGTATGTTAGTTACGCGTCCGGGGTATGTGTTAGTAACGGTGTCGTTTGCGTTACTCATAATTTTTGTTAATTTTAAGGCTCCCTCGGTCAACGCGCTCGGACCGTCTGCTCGCAAAGATGACATGGCCGAGCGTTTCATTGACTTTCTTAAGGATGACCGAGAGTTTCAAAACGTGATCAAGCACGCCTTCGACGAGAATCACTTGGAGCGGCGTAGAAGACAAGCGGATATTGATATCGACGATGGTATGGAGGTGGAGACCAAGAAACCGGGGTTTTTCGATAGGGCTGCAAAGTTCGTGTCGGAGCTGCTGCAGAGATTCTTGAAATGGGTCAACTCCTCCGATGATAGGAAATAGTTTTTGGCGATGTCTCTCTCTTCGGAAATAATGTAATATTGTCAAAAATGCATTAAAACGTTTCAAATTTGCTTATAGTGTCTTTATTTCTCATGGACCAAACAAATTGTTGTAGAAAGAGGCGTACGAAATCTTGACCTTTTTCTGCACCCCAACCTCGAAAGCGGAACGATTGGACTGTAGGATATGATCATATGTGATCCTCTTCATCACCTTAGTTGCAGGTGAAGAAGAAGCAACTTTTTTCCAATTTCTACAGTTAACAGCGGCAGGGGCGCCCACTGAAATCCGCTAAGGGAAACATCTGCAGTTTCAGAGGCCTCACAAAAGGTTCGGTCCTCCCCAAGCAGTCCAAGGACTACTGGTTCTCGCATTCGGCCACAGTTTTACCCCGCAGATTCCGACGGAACCCTACCAGCAGAGGAAAGGGACTTCCTTCCATCTCGTCAACGTCTTCATCTAAATCTGAGTGATGTCCAGTTCCGGGTGTGACCCCAGAACAATGGCCACCCGGAACCTCGCCGCAGAGGCTTGTCCATAGGTTCGTAGTGCACCCGCAACTTTGGGTGCTTCTCGGGCTGCCCTGAGTCAGAACCTAGAAAGCTTCCCACCGCTTGAACCCTGACGTCGGGTTGCCCCTCTATCACGTCCTTGTATAAGACCGTGTTTTGGAGCCGTCCCCTCTCTCTAGGACCCCTTTTAAGGGCTCGGCTTATTGGTCCCGCTCTGATGAGGAACCCGGAAAGGGTTTCTTTAGTTTTAAAACATCCCATGAGTATTGCGGTAACGCCTGGACAAAGCCGCTTACCCAGTGCTTGGCTGCCACCCCCAAGTAAAAAAAGTCACCACTCGGAGGTCACCCGATATCCGATAGAGGCACAGTTATCGATACTACACCCTAGTGCCACGCAGTACTCAGCAGGTTCGCTGACACCTTGCCCAGGGAAGTTGGTCCGCGGCAACCACCTTCGTCGGCACCAGTCTGGGTTTTAGCCCCGACGAGTTACTTATAATCATCACTACCCACACCAAAACACGAGTCACTTTACGATCACTCAGGTGTCTGTGAGGGCGTCACCCTAAACAAAATTAAAAGCAAATTTCCAACTAATGAGAAAACATATCCAAAGTCCTGTGTCTGGATCCGATTATTATCAATAAATGCGATACAAATCTGACTCATGCAATTGATTTTTGTAGGTCGGTTCCTTTAGGAATATGTTAAAACTATTCGACCAATACTTTATGCAAATCAAAAATTTGAAGTAACAAACAGTTATGGCTGAGCCTGATTTATTCTTCAGGTTACGAATAATACTATTCCCCCCTTGGAAGCTACAATTCAGAAATATGGAAACAGCTCGCTTCGTGACGATGCAGCTGAACTTGGAATATAGATTGAGATCTTGTTTGTGCATGGGAATAAAAAGCCAATTCCCCCACTGGACTGAATATTATTTTTGGCTGTTTATTGATTGGGTTTTGTTGCGAGTAAATGCATAAATTAATTGTCGTAAAATTTTTACTGCATTGCACTGATTGTTTATAGTGCAGTGCGTCTCGCAAAGAGGTCACTAAACTTCCGTGAACTTGCTTTTTTAGGTTATCAATATCCAATCGGAGATTAGAGAAGAGTTCTTTATTTATAACGATGAATTTAATATCACTTGGTCTCTGCGCTCACTCGAAGCCAAGCTGCGAATGCCGGCTCTTTTTTTTGTTTCGTCGACGTTTTTCTACGTAGATCTCCATACTATGCTCTAAATCTTCTCCACCCCCCATCCCGGTCGCAGCGGCCGTTAGAACTCGCGCTTATCTACTTAACACAACCTGCGTTTTATTCTAAATGCACACCGTTATTGCTCTAAATTCCCAAACATACTTTCGTTCACGTTTACTACTATAATGCGGTATATGTGTATATTTTCCTATGTTGTGCGAAATCCAAATTCGAAAAATGCCAAACGATCGCCCCTTACAAAATCCCGAATCCTGAAAACGTTACAAAATGACAATATGAATTTGGGCAACCGAAGAGATAGGCACCAGAGGCCTTGAAGATTGGAGAGGTTTTCGGCCAAACTAGCTACGATGTCTAAGGTTGTGATTGATCTCGAATATCGACTGTAGGCTTGGAATTACCGAACGAGGGTCAAAGTTACCCATCCTCAGGGAAGCACCCTGCTAACAAAAACTCCTCACTTTCGAATCTATGTGCGATATAGGTATTAGTTGCAATTCACTTATTTCCGTTTCTGTAGTGTGAAGTTAGCGTGGAACCTGAGAAATGCGGCGGGGTGCTAAATTATAAGTGACACCATAGATTACATTGCAATCTTTTTCACTTTTTGCAATAACATAATTAGCGCTGATTAACTGCAACCGTGAGTTCTACAAAATACCTTCCCACTAGGACCAAGACGAATGCTAACTTACACTTGGATCACCTGATGCAGTAAGAGCACCGTCATGCATGTCGATTGGTTTAGCCTTACTTTTTGTGTATTTTTCTATTTGGTATACGTATGTAACATGAAAAAACATCGCGTCCACATTTAACATGGTCTAGTGGAAAAACTTCCAAGTTCAGTTTTGTAATAAGCGTTGAGGGAAGACCTTGTTCGTTTCAAAATTATCTCAAACAAAAAATTGCAGTGACCATCAACCAAATAATACTGAATACGTACTTTAGAAAATAAACTGTTATATCTGATTAAAACTTTCAAAAACGTCAATCTTTTGTTCGCCAAAAAAGAAAAATTTGTTCGCAATTTAAGGGAAAACAGAGTTTTGGGATACAGTATAAACACATCGATACGCCACTGAAGTAGCTAATGTGACAGGAACTGACCTAAACCGATTACCGTACCGGTACTTTAGCTACAGCCAGACAAATATTTGCTTCTTGAGGCTGAACTACAAGGCTGATACAGGTAACAAAACCAAACTTTATTTTTGATTGAGAACGTTATTGATGCTAGGATATGGACGGAAATGATTTGCCACTTGTTAAAATCGAACCAAAACAAGAAGAAGAAATCCATTCCGATCTTGTAGATAAAATTTTAGTAAGCAACGAAGCATCCTTTACAATAAAGGACGAAATTACCACGCTTGATAATGAGGCAGTACAACAACAAACTGATTTAAAGCATATCAATTTTCAGGATTTTAAATGTGCTAATTGTGATTACAAGACAACTAACAAAATCAACCTTAAACGACATCTTTTAAAACATTTCAATGCTAGAGGTTTTAAGTGTGCAAATTGTTATTACGAGACAAGTAACAAATACTACTTTAAACAACACCTGAAGAATCATATAAATTCTAATGATTTTAAATGTGCCTATTGTGATTATGAGACAAATAACAAATACCGTCTGGAAAGACACATTTTAACACACAAACGTAGTAATGTAAATGTCTTGAAATGTGCTCATTGTGATTATGACACAAATAACAAAATCAACTTTAAATTACATCTTTTAAAACATACTGAGTACAAAGATTTCAAATGTGCTAGTTGTGATTACCAGACAAATAACAAGTACAACTTTAAACGACACCTTAAAAAACATTCAGATTCTGATAATTTTAATTGTGCTCATTGTTATTACGAGACGCATAGTAAACAACTGCTTAAAAGGCACATTTTAACACACAAACTTTCTGGTAATGTAAATGTTCTAAAATGTACTAATTGTCTTTACGAGACGGCTAACAAAATCTACTTTAAACGACATCTTTTAAAGCATACCGTTACTAAAGATTTTAAATGTGCTAATTGCGATTACGAGACATATAGCAAAGACTACTTTAAACAACACCTTTTAAATCATTCCGATTTGAAAGATTTTAAATGTGGTAATTGTGGATACAAGACAAGTAACAAATACTACTTTAACCGACACCTTAAAAATCATACGGCTTCTATTGATTTCAAATGTTCTCAGTGTGATTACGAAACACATAATAAACAACAGCTTAAAAAACACATTTTAACACACAAACTTTCTAGTAATATAAATGTACTAAAATGTACTCATTGTGTTTACGAGACAATTCACAAATACTGCTTTAAAAAACACGAGTTAAATCATACCGATTCTAAAGATTTTAAAGGACATTCTAGTAATATAAATGTGCTAAAATGTGCTAATTGTGATTACCAGACAAATTACAAAAACAACTTTAGACGACACTTTTTAAAGCATATTGATTCTAAACATTTTAAATGTGCTCATTGTGACTACGAGACAAATGACAAATACCACTTTGACGAACACGTTTTAAAACATAAAGTTTCTAAAGATTTTAAATGTGTTCATTGTGATTATGGCACAAATAGTAAACAATGTATTAAACAACATCTCTTAAAACATACTGATTCTAAAAATTTTAAATGCGCTCATTGTGATTTCGAGACAAATTACAAATTTAGCCTTAAACAACACTTTTTAAATCATACGGATTCCAAAGTCTTTAAATGTGCTCATTGCGATTACGAGACAGTTTACAAACACCACTTTAAACGACATCTTTTAAAACATAACGTTTCTAAAGTTTTTAAATGTGCTGATTGTGATTACAAGACAAATTACAAATACAACTTTAAAAGACACCTTTTAAAACATAAAGATTCTAAACATTGTAAGCGTGCTAATTGAGATTATGAGACATGTTAAACGACACGACAAACATTTAAAATCTTGGCTTTATGTTTGTGGATGTGGACTGAATTAGAAATATGCCAGTTTTTATGGTTAAGCAATTTTCCAGTAATCTCAGGTGCTAACTATTTGATGAAAGTGCAATGATTTGATCTTTGTCATTCTGATTGCCAGTCTTAAGAGATAAACTCAAATGCAATATTGATTGGTAATTTTTCTATGATTCCAAAGTTTCCACTTTGTTTTGTTTTTCAGAGTAGGTTTTGCGTTAGAGTTAGGAACACTTGATTTGTATTAAATGTAACAAAATGTGAATTTATAAACATCTAATAGCTCAGGTTATTAACTTTATTATTATTCATAGTTTCTAATTGTTTATTTGTTAATGAATGATCACCCTGCTTCATATATTCTTTTCTTTAGAGTTTATTATACAATTTTTTTTGTTTTGTTTTTATATATTATCAGGTTATCTACTACAATGTTCAACTTGTATTTAATTCTTTTTCTTTTAAATTATAATGTATAATGCTTGCACATTCTCCAATTAAGGCATATTGTCCTGTAACTGGATATGTATATCTCATAGGTATATCTGTTTGGGCAATAAATTATTATTAATATTATTAACAGGTGATGATGAATTCCATATAATATATTATTATTATGGCATTTAAATATCGATTATGTCAGAGCAAGAGATAAAGATATACAGATACCTTGAACCAATTCAAAGAATCTCAGTATCTCTATTGATGTCGGCAAGTTTGTCACATTTCACGAGATGCGGGTCGACTGTGGTACTGAGGCCGCATGGTTTTTAAATATTTACTCGAATTTCTGAAAACCAAACCACTTTATCTGACAGAATGTATGCAATGAACGATTAGAAAGAGAAATGGAAGAGAAGAGGATGTTGGAGGCAACACAAATATGGGCTTCAGAAAAGGGAGGGGAAGGATCGACTATGTATATGCACTACACTGATTGGTGGAAAGGGAATTGGAAAAAGGATGGGTCTAAAATAAAGGCAGAGTGGAAAGGAAAAAAAGTATGGAAAATGATAGAAGATGGGAAAATGGACAAGAAGCTAAAGGTCAGAATCAAGGAACTATATAACAGAATTGAAGGTAAGAATAGAGGTCTGAAGTGTTTTGAAGACCTAAAAAGGACTAAGACACAGGGCTGCCCACTATGCCCAACAATAAGGCCTAATAACTATACATAAAGAGACATGGAAAAACTATTAAGACATGTCCAAGGTGCAGAGATCGGGAAGAAGAAAGCTACGGTCCCTGCATACGCGGACGACGCACGGATAATGGCCACAGGGGTAGAACAAATGGAAGAATGGAAAGGAAAAAAAGTGGATAATGATGAGATTTGGAAATGGGGATGGAAGGAAAAGGGAGAGAGAATAGAAGAGGTTAGAGAAATTAAATAGGTATGTAGGGTACCAAATGCAAAGAAATAATGGGACATTCTTGGTAAACATGCGCAAATAAGAGAATTAATAATGGGGGGGGGGGGCGATAAGACAGATGTGGGGGAATAGGAGAGAGAGGTTTCAAGAACAAGAAAATGCGTGTTCGATGCAATGGTGAGAGGGGTGCTCATGTGGTGGAAGGAATGTGATGATCTGGAAAGAATACAAAGAAGGTGTAAATGGATATTAGGGCATTACCACATTGTATATTGGAGGAAGAAACAAAAATGCAGAAGATATAAGGATAGCGTCGGGACGCAGGGCGGTAAAATACGAGGAAAGAAGTAAACGAAAGGGAATTGGTAAAAAATACTTGACAATGAGGAAGAACGCAAAAGGAATATGAGAAGAACAAAGAGGAAAATATGAAAGAAATAAAATACGAACGGGCTCAGTTCGATAAGAGGCGCGGAATAATAGGAAAGATGGAAAATGAACTGACCAAATGGAGTCGCAAATACAACATCAGAGGGTGAAGATGGAGTGCGCACGAGGAAGTACCTTAAATAGTACTTAGATACAAATAAAGATCTAACAAGGGAGTGGTTACCAAAATATTTACCTATAGGAGGGAATGAAAAAAATATTAATATAAATTAAATAAATATAAATATTCAGATGCGGAAATGAGGAGGGAGAGAGAGAAAAGAAGAAGATGTAGAAGAGAACACATGATATGGAGAAAGAAAGGACAGTGAGAAAGAAGTGTAGGGTGGGGGTGAGGGGATATTAAAGAAAGGAAGTTACGCCCCCTAGCTTTCGAATTTTCCTCTCTTGACAAATTGCCATGGGTTCAAAGGCCTCTTCCTTAAATGTATAGGGCACTTCTCATATTGTTTAAAAATATACAGAGCCGGGGGTTATGGAATACCCTCCAGTATACGAACGATTCTTAAAGTATGATTAGGTACGTAGAGAAGCAGGGTCAGGTCAAGTTTTTCGTATTCAGTTTGGCGGGGTACCCCTCCCCCGAGGAGTTGTCTCTGAGGCCAAACGAACTTATTTCATTACACCAATCAGATTATGGTTACTCTTTGATTACACTTTAAAAGAAATTATAAATTTTCCATCCGTTCAAAGGCCCTTTTAAAAGATACAGGGCAAGTATATAAAGGATACTTCTCGTTTTAGTTGAAAATATAAAACCGGAGGGTGTCTGGGGGTATAGAATCCCTCCACTATGCTAATGATTTCATGAGGATGATTAATTGACTGTAGAGAAAGAGGGTCATCAAGTTTTCCCTTGGTGGAGAGTATTGTGTTGCCTGGAGGATAGTCCACATCCCCTCCCCCCCAGACCCCCCGGAGCTGGTAAGCGTAAAAACACTCATTACACTACAAGACAATCTTGAAGTGTACAGGGGCTAGTTTATAAAGGCCACTTCTCATTTTGGTTACAAATATAGAACCGGATGGTCTGGGCAGTGTCGGACTGATGGGCAGGCGGAATACCGGGAAATTTCCCGGTGGGCCCCCCCGATTCATCTTGGGTGGGCCCCGGGCCGGGACGGCCCCTCCTCATACACAGAATATAATGCGAAACATATATATATATATAACAATTTCAAGAAAGTGTATAATTCCTCAATTTAGATTATATACATTGGTAGGGAGTGGGCCTTTTGTTCCCATTTCCCGGTGGGCATTTGGGGTCCAGTCCGACACTGGACGTCTGGGGTGTATAGAGTACCTCCCCCCCCTCCAGTATACGAACGATTTCATGACGACGATTGTAGAGAAAGAGGCGTCCATCAACTTCTTCTTTACTGGGGAGTATTGTGTTATATTCCACCCCCCCCCCCCGACCGCTGAGCTGCTTCCTAACTTAAAACTTGCAGTGCTATAAGGACTTTCATCATTAATTCATGCTTTCAAAGGCCCTTTCTGAAAGTACCTAGTAGTAAACGATGCTTCTCATTTTGGTTGAAAATATATAACGGGGGGCGGGGGGGGGGGGTCTGCTTCAGTAGTAAGGACATTTACTACAATTGCAAAAAAGACAATCTAATGTTCCTTTCTTGAAATGTATTCCATGGCGCGTTCCATTTCCTAGGTCAATTTTTATTCAATGCCTAAGCGTAGTAGGCGAGTAGTACCTATAGGTATTTGCTTAAATATATATAGAACCGGGGGGTCTGGAATATCCCCCCCCTCCCAAGTATACGAATACGAATAATGCCTCAAATTCGAGCTCTTTGTACTTTGTCCCTGACTAGATTAGTCCGACCCTTCAACGTCACTCAAGCACCTCTAACATGGGTGGTTCAGCCAATCCCATGCAGTGCCCAAAAAGAATACCCACGAGTAACCACAAGCCCACCTCTGACCTCAACACCTCCCTGCTATTCAACGACCCCTTATTTTTCAGACGCAAAGATGCCAGAGTGGTTTGCTCTCTCACGTGGAGATCTAGTGGAGGCAGACCCAAAAGGGCCTCCATAATGCCTGTGCTTTTTCCCTAGGTCCTTTGTATCTTTTTCCAACATTTTCGAGATATTCACATCTAAGTTTTCACATCACCAATGGATATATTTCTTTCAGACGTTCCAATTGCCATTTGTGAATACCCTCCTCCGACAATCTGCTCTTGAAATATAAGCAATTATATCCATATCACGATAAGGGTCCGAGGAGGAGGACTATGGTTGGTAGAAATTAATTGTTTTCGGAGAGACGTACATGAATAATAAAACCAATATCTGCCCCCTCCCCCCTTCTATCCTGTCACTTGCAGAAAACCTAGGTTATAGTTTGTAGACACCAATTCTTTTCGATGAAACCTTTCATCATACGTGTGTTTACCCCCCTTTCCCTCCTCCCTTTTTCAAAAGTTTTAGTGTACATGGTACCACTATAATAGTGGCATGTGCGTATGCAAAATCTGAGACAAGTTGGTTGTCCCATGTAAAAGTTATGCACGTTTTAGTAAAGGACATTAATGATTTTCGTTAAAAATATAGAATCAGGCGGGATACAAATGATTTCATAATGATAATGATTGTAGAGAAGAAGGGCCATCAAACTTTTCTTTACTGGGGGGTTACTCCATACCCTCCAGACCTCACGGTTCTGTATAGTATCAGAATAAGAGCGAGAAGGAGCGGAAGAAACTCGTTTTGTAAATATCATCGATATGAGGGGCGCAATTTTACCGCTTGCCCTAGGCGCTATTTGAGCTTGCTACGCCCCTGATCGTATGATCGTCCCAAAAAGTGCGTGGAACAAGAAAATAAAATTGTCAGGAATTTTTAATTCCCTTCCATTACCGGAAGGCCCTCGTATAACTAACTGTCGGATATGCCACCAATGATACAATGCCTACAAATGGATTGCCGAAAGACTTATTAACACCAGCTGCAGTCGAAGTGCGCGTATGCGCCAACGTCAAATTGATCGCAGACGTACGTCATTCGTCGTTTAAGCGTTCACAACGAAACACTCATTCGGAGCGCGTGTCGTTAATTGCGTCGACACGCAAACATAAAAACCTGGAATAAAAATAATTCATTTGGTGTGAACGTTTCGTGGCGGTTGTAGCCGTATCGAGTAATTAAATGTGCGGTACACTAATTACGATTGTCCTCTTAATTAACTCATACTAAAATGCTGTGATCGAATGGGAACAAATCGAAAAGGTTGCGCGTAAACGTAAGACTCATTTTCACTAGTTCAAATGGCCCTCGGTAATGGTAGCACAACAACAACAACCAATGGAGGTGTTACGCAGGAGAAGGCGCCCGTCGTTAACGGGACGAATATGGAAACGCTGGCGCGAACTGGAAAACAGGTGAGAGGGTGGTTTTTCCTCCTGCTGCTGTAGTAACGAAAGACGCCCACGTTTGCCGCCCGCTTTAAAGCTTACCGGGCGGACCGTCACGCTTCGCTTGGTACCGATTTATGTGAAATCGTCAGTATGAGTAAATGATGTCATTTTTTGCATTTTAATTGCAGAACGGTAAAACCGAGCAAGGCGTAGCGCAGGGTTGTCAACGCGGGCCCGTTTTGTTTCCACTACCTACCTATGCGAAATTATATAATCCGGCAAACAAGTGTTTTGATGTTCGATCATGATGTCATTCTTGCATATTGTACAAGGTCTCCTTAATTATGTTCCAGTATGTTTATTTATAACTCTATCGCTCGAATGGCTTAGAGTACAAACACACTAACCTTGCCGACCGCTTTTAATTTAGCAGGGGTGAGGGGTTATCATGTTATCGATATATTTAGACGTTATTACAGGTGAATAAAAAATGCAAATCAAAAAATTTATTTTTGCGTGTGACGATAGCAGATGTTTTCCATTTTCGAAATGCGCTGACCTTTTTTCATTTCGAGTTCATCGTCGGGTGTGTGGAAACTGATGGCAATTTTTAAAAGGGTCGCTTATAGTCCCCTTACCTTGGCCTTTCATTTTCTATCTGAAATTGACATTCATAATAATGAGCTAAATTGTTTTCAATGGTAAGAACTTGTTAAAAACAAGCCATGTGAAAATATATTTTAAATTTTATGATTTTATTGTCATTGTTTCTCACATCATTGTATAATATGTCGGTTCGCGTTATATCTAGAATGTTTTTTTATTTACAAAAAAGTTACCATAGACATATCCATTTTCTGAATAACTCTTAATCGTTGTATATTTAGTAACCCTGTAGTGTTTACTTGCCGAAAACGTAAGCGAACCGAAACTTAACCGTGTAGGTAATATGTGTAAACAAGCAATTGTTGTTGTGAACATTGGATCCGAATAGAAACCGAATGAAACCGACTCGTGTCGATGAAGCTTTCGGTTATATCAGTTGCCGAACACACGCCGTATACACCGGTTTACACTTGTCGGAAGCGACCGAAAACGAATTGAATACGCACGGAATCGAATCGAACGGTGTTAAGTGTGAAACAAGTTCCATAATGACGATTCTACAATTTGAAAGGATCATTGAATTTTCCTTTTGCTGAGGGGCATTGAATACTCCCCAGTAAGATCCCCCGCTGTTGCATCTTCCACCAAAACCGTCTGTCTGACCACCCTCATCCAGTACGCCAAGACTGCATTTATATGAATCGTCTGGTGGCGATAATGATTCATCTCACCCCCCCCCCCTCATTCCAGTGTTCGGTAAGACGGTATCGGACGTAGCACCGGGGGGGGGGGTCTAGGGGTATGGAATGCCCCCCTCCGCCACTATACGAAGATATGGTGATAATGATAATTGTAGGAAAAGGATCAACGAATTTTTCATTGACTTGGGGGGTATCAGACTCCTCGGTGTTTCAACTTTCCCCAAAGCCGTTTGGCTGACCTCTCTCATTTCAGTTTTTCTCAATACTCCATGGAACTGCTCTTGGGGGTATGGAAACCCCCCAGTGTACGAAGACTTAAGAATGGCGATAATAATAATTGTAGGGAAAGGATCATTGAATTTTCCTCCCCTAGCCCCCGGTGTCACAAAATCGTTTGGCTAACCACTCTGATTCCAGTTTTCCCTAAGACGCCACCGAATGTAACACTGGAAGATATTCATGAATATATGGTGGCAATGATGATTGTAGGGAAAGGATCCTTGAATTTTCCTCTTACAGGGGGTGTTCCATCTCGTATTCCATACCCCCCAAACCCCCCGGTGTTGCATTCTCTCCCACAATCGTCTGTCTGGCTAATCTCATTCCAGTTTTCTGTAAGACGCGCAGTGGTCCCAAATCTCGAAAATATGGCAAAAGGTCAAAAAATAAAATTTCTTTATGGGGATTTTTAAATTAACAGCTTGGTAGGTTACAGCGGGGACGTTTTGGCGCGTTCCGTTGTTATTAGCGATTTATTTGAAAATTTGGACAGGATTATTTTATGGTTCAAGTGGTGTTTCCTTAAATCCTGGAGTCGACGTAAAAACGCTGTTTCGCGACGGTTGAAGAGCGTGTGCCGCTAATTTGCTACAGTCAGTCAACCTTATTTGTTTACTTGAAGACGCAATTCGTCATTTTTATAATAAATTGATGCAGCACCCAGATTATGATTTATTATTTTATTTGTCGACCACTTGCGTTCGGGGCAATATGTCCAAACAAGATATGTAAGCTTTTTGTGCGAGGTCGGGCGACACCTTTTTAATTTACCAAGTCATAATTATAATTACAATAATTAATGAGTAATACATAAGTAAAAAACAAGATAAAAAAAATTGAGGGTTCAATAAATTAGATTTAAGCATTCTGATGATAATTAGCTTGTTTACCGTAGGTAATCTTAATTACAAGTAGTTATAAACTTAATAATGAAGATTAACAAATGTAGAAAAAGTTAATGCTTATACAAAATAACGTTTTCTGGTAGATAACTTGAACGTTAAGTTTAACGTAGTGATTTATTTATTTATTGTCCCTCTTGTTCTGGGCCCTCAACAGGCTTTTTGCTTAATTACAGAGTGACACGCATAATGCTTCTTAGAGGTGCCCCTGCAGAAGGTCATAAGTCGTTCTATACTACTCCGGTATTTACCTTACGAATTAGGAAAACTGCAGGAAAGCCTAATTCGGAGTAGCCGGCAGAATGCTTGAAACTGATCTGAGGAAATTCACATATGAAAAATTCGTAGCTCAGTCCAGGTTCGAACACCCGACCTCCGACTATGTAGCCCAACACTCTACCACCAGGTGATTCTCAATTATCGCACTCCAAAATTCGACCAAAAACTGCACTAGTCCACTATACCGACTTTCATTTAAAATAAATTCCGATTTTTAATCAGCGCACCGAAAAACCCCACTACACCAACGTTCATTTAAACAATTTTTCGCAATTATTTTCGCCATACTGGATCCGCCATTTTATTTTTTTTAATTTAACATTCTCAATTAGCTTGCCTAAAAAAACTCTATACCAACTTTAGTTGAAAGACAACAAATTTTCATAATTTTTTAAGTCTGCCATTTTGCATTTTGAAAATCTTAACATCGGATTCTTAATCAGCGCACCCAAATACCTCACGACACCAACGTCCAGTTAAAAATAACAATTTTTATCCGTAATATTTTCAAATAGAGCGCTCAAAAAACCCACTATACCGACTTGCATTTATAAACAACACATTTTCGCCATTTTTGTCCGTCATATTGGATCCGCCATTTTGTTTTTTGAAAGACTTTTACAAATTCATTCAATGTCTTTAAAGGTTCTAAAAGCCGCTTGGATATTTTTGAAAATATTTAGAAACTCTTTAGTCTTATCACTTATCAGTTTTTATGAATTTCTAAGAACTTTAGAGAGTCTAAGGTCGTAATAATATTTGAAAGCCTTTGGAATTATTCAAGATTATTAAGTGGCAGAGCAACGCGATGCAAGATTTATAGGGGAGTCGATGGTGTCCGTCTGCCCGTCCGTGAACACGATAATTAAAAATTGAAATTGGGTCAAATCCAATGACCCCTTGGGGTCACGCCTCTCTGTTGTCTCTGCCAAACGCTCGAACCTATTCGGTGCAAACTTTGCACAGTTGACCTATATGCCATCAGTAATAAGTCTATTGAAAATGGGTCAAATCCAATGACCCATTGGGGTCACGCCTCTCTGAATTGTCTCTGCCAAACGCTTGAACCTATTCGGTTCAAACTTTGCACAGTTGCCCTATATGCCACAAGTAATAAGCCTATTGAAAATGGGTCAAATCCAATGATCCCCTTGGGGTCACGCCTCTCTGTCGTATCTGCCAAACGCTTGAACCTATTCGGTGCAAACTTTGCACAGTTGACCTATATGCCACCAGTAATAAGTCTATTGAAAATGGGTCAAATCCAATGACCCATTGGGGTCACGCCTCTCTGAATTGTCTCTGCCAAACGCTCGAACCTATTCGGTTCAAACTTTGCACAGTTGCCCTATATGCCACAAGTAATAAGCCTATTGAAAATGGGTCAAATCCAATGATCCCCTTGGGGTCACGCCTCTCTGTCGTATCTGCCAAACGCTTGAACCTATTCGGTGCAAACTTTGCACAGTTGACCTATATGCCACCAGTAATAAGTCTATTGAAAATGGGTCAAATCCAATGACCCATTGGGGTCACGCCTCTCTGTCGTCTCTGCCAAACGCTTGAACCTGTTCGGTACAAACTTTGCACAGTTGACCTATATGCCACATGTAACAAGCCTAATAAAAATGGGTCAAATTCAATGAGCCCGTAGGGTCACACCGGGGTGCTCTGTCGCTTTTTTAGGGGTTTATTTGGTTTTAAAGAGTGTTCGAGAGTATTTTATTGAATCTAAGGAGGGTTCCGGATAGGAGGAATTTCACCGGTATCCCGCTGAGTGGCGTAAGGCTTAAACGGGAAAAAATCGCTTCGAAACGGCCACTTTAACTTCAACGTAATCCCTTTTAATCCCATTAAAAGCCTACAAATGTCGCTATATAGAAAGCGCATCGCGTACATACAAATCGGCTCGTTAATTTCGAAAAGCACACACACTTTGCGTGCCCGAAAATCCCGCAAACGCACGCGAAACGAAACCTGCGGACTCTCCTTTTTCGCGTACAAAACGGATTTCGTAGCATTACGCTATCATTTAATTAAATCGCGCTCGACAATAACGATCGAAATTTGAAGGTTTGCCATTAAATTTAACGCTTAATTAATTTACGACCGCCTCCGATTAATTGCGTTGCCCACACGTTTCCCGATGTGAGAAAATGTGATTTTTTCATTGAAACCTTTTTTGAAGGTTAGGAGGTCAAATTAGATACGGTTCATGAGTTGATTAGTTAACAATTGCCCTTTGTTACGTTAACTT